TGAAAAGAAAAAAAAAAATAAATAAATCCCAAACCCAGAGTCAAGCCCGTGGGTTTTCATTCCCATCATTTTCATGCCAAGAAGAAGCACAACGTTCCCCAGCACGCCGCGCGGTGCTGCGCTAACGCGATTAGCCAGGCAGATCCACCATCCACATAAGTCACCCCCAATGCATGGTCAACTTCGAAAAGTTCAGCAGCTCAACAGGTGAGGCCATGAAACCCGATCACGGCAGACAATGTCGTCCCCCCCCCAGCGTCGTGCTGGGAAGAACTTGTCACGTGCGTCATATCGGGCAACATGCTTGAAACGGAGCAGCGCGCTGAAACCCCAGCAACACGAATAATCTTTGCCATCTGTTTGAACAACTCAACCCTCCTCAGATCTAAAGGAATGATCCCATGCAAACACAAGGGCCTCGCTGACTGATTATAACAGCCCAGCCCTTCTTTTTTGGGGCCATTTTCTTCCAAACTTTGCGCAGCAGCTAAGGCAATGTCATGGGGAGCTGCTACAACGGCCAAGGGGGCACTGAACCCTGTGCAAGTGTCAAGGGGACCGTTAAAAGTCCCCACTCACTTAAGTGCAACACAATGCAAGGTCAGTAGTTGATTTTTAAATTTTTTTTTTACATCAAGGAAACAAAATCTCAACGGGAAAGCTGCTTGGCAAAGCCATCCCAGAGAATGCAACTGTCCTTTAGGATACGCTCATTCCAACCCAACGCAGCTCACGGGAATGCGCTGGAGGAACCGGTCTTTGCTCAGATACGGTCATTTGCACTCTAAGTCTGGTTGGGAGAATCAAGACCGTTCCCAAACTTCCTGGGGCCAATGAACCTTGCGACACCCGGCGGAAACAACACGTCGAGTTTTGCAAGCACCTGGTTGTGTCCGTGCCGACACCTCCGTGCTGCCGGATCCGTGTCCCACCAGGGAGGCTGCGAAGCTCAGTGGCAATTACGTGGCAGGCGTTAAACCCTCGCTACCACTGTAAAGTCGGGATTTAGAGAAAAACGGGCAAATGCAGGGGCAAAATCCTGCCTTGCTCAAGATCTGCCCTTGGTTCAGCAAGGCTTTCACTCCTGAACTTTTAACCAACATCACCTTGTCGTTCCCCTGCTCCCAGCCTGGCCCATTGCAAGCATCAGCACTGCACTGCTTGCACCGCCCCACACTGCTTGGGGCAAAAAAAGAGGCTCCTGGGGAAAAATAAAAAAATGAGGAAGTTTCTCATGGTTCAGGAATTGCTGTGAAGCAGCACTTTGCACATTAAGGTCCCCAGTGCTTATTTAGGTGATTGGGGAGTTTAAGAAATGCATGTCTGAAGCTGTTTATTGTACACCACCGCACCGTGGGGCCTGATCCTGCTGACCCAAACCACCCAGTCTCAGCATGGAGAATGAATTAAGGCAGCTTGGAAATAGCAGGAAGATGGGAGCCCCAGCATTTTAAGAATTCTCCCACCCAAAAAAAGGAAAAAGAAAAAGAGGTCTCCCATCTGTGCGGCTAGAGGCAGAGGAGCTCAGGCTAGCACCGCTATCGAGGTTACAGCCGGCGTAGCCATGGCACGGGGTTTCATAGCAGAGGGCTTCAGACTCGAAATATAAATCAATGATGTTGAGTGGGGCTGGGAACGCTCAGCCCATGGCAGGAGGGACTGGGTACTACAGCCCACTGGGCCTAAAATGATTAAAAAAAGAAAAAAAAAAGACCCCCCCCAAACACATAACACTAGTGACGTGATCTTTTTTTCTTACCTTACATTAATTATAGGACAACAGGCTTTTAAGCCTCTAGTATATTTAAAAATGGATCACTGTTGCATGAAATAAGAAAGGAAATAAAAAAAATTCAACAACTGATTTTCTAGGCTTGCAAGAAACACTTCCCCCCCCTCAACCCATATAGTAAACCCCTAAGAAAACAACTTCCCAACGGGCTGCCAGGCAGGCTGTTTGTCCGGGCAGCCGGACACATGCGCGCACAGGCTACAGAGCTGAGCTCCTTACTGCTGCAAAGAGGAAACTTCTTTATTATCCAAAAATTCCAGGCGCTACTTAAAATTAGTTTGCAATAGTGGCTGGATCCCGTTTCTCCTCTGTCATGGTACATATTTTCACTTGAAGCAGTTAACATGCTGTATTCATTACCGGGGGGAAAACCCCGCAATGTGCGTACAGAAGTTATTTCCATTAGATTTCTAGCTATCTCACTATTGAAAAATCAATTTAATTTTTCCCTCTTTTCCCTCTGCTTTTTAGGAAATGTGATCAGCACCACTTGATGCTATTTTGCCTTTCACACAAAGGGAAAAAAAAACCAAACAGATTTCATTTCACTTGACAGAAAATGGAGCAAGAAAAAAAGTTTGCATTCCCTCCTTCAAAAGTTATTTTCTATAGATGAAAACTTTAGACAGAGATAAGTAGTTAATAAATATGATGAAATGCAAATAGCCCAAAACATAAGCCTTCATCAAGCTAAATAAGCAAATTTGTGATGCCTTGTGCCTCTCAGAAATCTGAAAAAAAAAAGTTACATTAGAACACTTCATTATATGGCAGGAACAACTTAAACAAACAAACAAAACCTCCTAACAGATATGACCAAATTTAGCCGGAAACCAGTCGAATAAAATGTACTTTCACTGAGACGTGGGTAAAAAATTGCATGTCCATCTTTTCAAAGCTAGGCAATTGCATTTAAACTGCAAGGACCGGGTGCTGAGAACACAAGTAACTCCCCCTGTTCCAAAGTTCAGTCAATTTGTGCAAAATCCTCTGAAAACAGACAAGGCTTGCCCAGCTCACTGCGCTACGGCTGGCACAGCAGATATTTTATAGCATTTTTAATCTGATTTTATTGGGCCATTAAAAAGAAAATACAAACACATCTCCTTATTGACATTAAGATAATAAATAAAAGTCTCATTAGAGCTTGGAGAAATAAGCACACTCTTGAGGAGCGTGGAGAAGCCAAGATTCGCTGAAGTCAGTGGGAGTTTTGAGCCATATAGTCTCTGATTTCTAGCGCTGAAATTTATAGGAACAAACTTCTGCCATCTAATTCAAATTGAAGTTAGAAATAACGCACAATTACCAAATCAGCAGACAAGTTGTTTGAGCAAATACATCCTCCCCCCATATATTTTGCATTATTTAGTCGTCCCGTGTCCCTCCCCCCCCTCCCGCAATTGATCCGGGTCCTGGTCCTGCATACAAACACGCTCCGATCCTCAGGGTGAATCATACCCGAGTGATTTCAAGACCTTCAGCATCACGTACCGCTCACTGCTTGGGAGCATCAGCACTCAGACCTGAAGATCTGTCGGATTTCAGTTAAAACACCCCTTTTGCAAAGACGCTATCTAATAACATAGCAGTGTGTTTGCAGGGATAGGGCCCACGCTACTTAAAATTAAGCAGCTGATAAGGTGAAACTTTAAGAAGTTACATGCAACTTTGATGCCAGCTTCTCCAAATTTAAAAATAACGTGTAGCCTTTAAATATTGACTTTCGCCCACTGCATCTGGGATAACAGATTAACATAATCATAAGCATTATTCTCTCCTTCTCCCCTTCCACCTCTTACTTGTAAAAGATTAATCAACCATTTTATGGTCTAATTTAGGTGCCTAATTAAAAACAGAGTTCAACACGTACACACCATTTTGCTAATAAATCCTGACAGGTCTTCTGTTACATGCAAGTTCTCCTTTCAAAACGCGATTTTAATATTTTTTTTAAAACCAACTGAATTTATAAAGATTTCATCTTAGTTGCTACGGGACAACACTCTGCATCCTCCACCAAAATTCTAGAATTTCATAAAACGAAAGTGCTTTCAAAAATGACTTCCTCCTCGCCAGATCTTATCCTGCATTCATTTCACTAACTGCTGAGGGATGGCAACATTAAAAAAAGAGACATAAACCTAATCGGACTTGCAGGGTGGGAGTTTCAAGACTACAAAGCGGTTAAAATTCAGAACTTCACAGCTCCCATCTAGCTTCAAAGTTTCCAGCTCTGCTCGTTTAGTATTCCTGTAAACACTCAGCAGAAAGACGTAGTCGAAATATTCTTGATAAAGGAACTTCACTCATAAAAGGATGAGGAGAAACATAAATGCGGTTCGACCCCGTGCCCGGCGTCCCACCAGAGCTGGGGAGCACCCATCGCCTCCCGTGCACAGACATCCCATCCCATCACGCGTGGGGCTGCTCCTCGCAAAATTCCTTCTCCATCCACCCTTGCAGGATGCAACCCCGTAATTTATAATTTCTCCCCAGCCAAAAAAGTTTCATCCCGTCCCCAAAGCACACGTTACACCGTCGCACATCGCACCGCTATCTTATCCCCAGCGCTAAGCTGGAAATTGCAAGCCTGAGCAATTTATCAGCTATAAAGCTGATTACAGTGGTAGGAGAAAGTTTAACGGGGAAAGAGCCCTGCGAAGCGATCGAGGAAGTTTCATCTCGAACGCGGAGCTGCCGCCGCGCTCCCAGAAGGGGTCAAACCCCCCCAAAACCTGCCTTTGCCGGGGGCAGGACCCTGCCCAGCCGTGTCCCCCGACCCGAAGGGGATTTCGGACGTGCCAGCCATCCCTCAGCAACACCCCAACCCGAAGGGAAAAAAAACATACGGTCCAGCAAAAGCCCTGGGAGCCCAACGAAATAAGAGTGTTACAAAAAAAAAAAAAAATTATTAAATTAATATTTAACCTTTATTTCAAGATGAAATACGCTGCGGCTAGCACAAAGCCTGCAAACCCCCCGCCGGCGCTTGGGCTAACGGGGAAAGCAAGTTCCGCGCCGGGGCTGGGGTTTTTGGGTGGGTTTTTTTTTTTTCGGGGTTGCTTTTTCGAAAGCGGGGGTGCGTGTATTTAGCGGAACATTGACATTTCGCCCCGGGCGCTCCCCCGACCTGCTCCGGAGCCCAAGCCGGGCGCCCCCCGCGCAACCCCCGCACCGCGCACCTCCCCGCCGGGG